AGGTCGGGTTAGGGCCTATGACCTGCTTTCGCCACCATTAGCCGTCTCCATTGGAGTTCGACAAGGCTGCCCCATACCCCCATTCCTTTTCAACTTTGTCATAGAGGATGTTCTACAGAATGCTTTGTCCGGTCTAGCAAACGGTGGAGTCGAATTCCTCCCAGGGAACATAGTTCTCGACTTAGAATGTGCCGATGATCGCCTTGTTCGGTGGCAATACACAGACAGTCCAACACGCTTTGGACCGCTTGGCAATCCAGTTATCCAAGTATGGTGCCTACTTTACACCAAGTGCAAAGTACTTGTTCATGACTATTTCAAACTCTGTTATTTTTGCTGTTGCATTGGTACCAAGCATATGGCGCCAAAATGATCATGAATTGAAAGGTAAATGGAAAAGCAGAAAAAAAGAAAAAAGGATCAGTATTGGGGTGGGGGATACCAACTTTTTTTGCTTGCTTACTGCGCACGAAGCTTGAAAATTGTAGCTGGTGTGGATAAGTCCTGCTAGGAGCAACAATTTCGATGACTGAAGGAAATGCGTTGCCTGACAAAATGATAGTTGTACATTTATCCACTTTGTTATCACGTAATTGTTACTGCTTTATTTATTCGTCTTGACAACATTCTCTTCCCCTTCTATTTTGGGCTTTTTTTTCCCGAATTCATTGACCGTATATATCGCTAAAAGTCATCCAACAATTCTATCTTTTGGAAGTGCTTTGTTAGTGATTAAAAGCAATGAAAATGTAATTTCACAATGACGTTTACAATCATATCCGCTTCGAGCTTTTGTAACCGTCTATGAATAACGTCATCTAGAATTGGTAGTAATTACCCATTTCATAGATTTTTGTTTCCATTATACATATTGAGTGGATCAAAGTACAGTCACCTTGATAGTAATAAAATTATAACCATTTGACGTTTGTTGGAGATTGAGATCGCTAACCAGACGGAAACCCGCCATGTCCTTAAAAATTACTGCTTCTCGTCAGCGAGGTTTTATTCACTCAAACTTTACCCACTTATTTGATTTAGCTTTGTAATCCAGCAGGTGGAAGGTACATGGAAATGGGGAAGGTCTGACTGAATTTGTTCATAAGTTCAACGGCTTTTAAAACATTATTTGCGTTGAAGGAGTTGTACTAGACTTCTTCTGACTCAAAACTATCCCAGTCTCTGAGGATGTTCAGGGCTTCATTCTCTCTCTTTCTCCTCTTGCAATGTTTTAATGGAGTGTGCCTCTTGAAAGATATGCCGGAGCAATTCTGCTCACTGCCTTCTCGTGGTAAGATTAACCTCGTTAAGAGAGAGTGCGAAACGCTATATTTGGGTTGGTGGGTCACGAGCAGCTAGAATAAAATGTGATTCCCAAATTTCCAAGAAAAGACGCGTAACTTTTCTTCAAAGTATCTTGGTCTCCTTGGTCAATAGGTAGATTGGGTGGTAAGGTACATTAAGCATTTTGGACATGTCAACCACACCAGAAGGGCGTATGATCCTACTAGTTGGACACCGGTTCCCTAGTGGATTCCAATGCTCACGCTGTCTTGCGTTTCAGGCTTTGGTTGACCGAAGGCAACATTTGTGAATCCCGCAAGGAATTTCACACGGTTTGAATTAGACAGCCAGGCTGAATTCCTCCCACAAGCAAACTATGGAGCCATTTTTCCACTACGAAGATTTTCGCCTTATTTTTCGCACACCGTCAGAACACGGACAAAATCAAATAAGAGATTGTATACATCATGTTTTAACTTGATTGGACGTCATGTGCTAATTCTTTTTTCCCTGTGCTATTATAGACATGGATTTCAACGTCGACCTTATGTGGATCTGGATGCACCGTGACAGCGCTGAATTCAACTTTTGAAACCCTTACCTGTAGAGGAGTGAAGTCAATTGCATTTCTCACCTGATTTCAACAGTCGTTCGCAAGGATGCCTGAGCACTCTAAACAGTTCGTTTTTTCGTTCACTTCTGTATCAACGTGCTGCGGGCCGATTTTTTTGTA